TAGGTTGAGAAAGACCAACAAAAAAAATATATTACGGGGGCTGTACAATTAGTGGCACCCCCTATAAGTGGGGATAGGAGTATCAATTTGCCTAGTCGACTTGAACGGTTCATGGTTCGGTCCGAGAAATGTCCGAGCCTGTCCAATGGCTCATCGAGCCACACGAGCTATTTTTAGCTCATGACGAATCAAACCTTAAAAAAATTAAATTAAATAAATTGCAGGCATCACTATTAAAAAAACAAAAGGAAATTAGATTAAATTAAAAAGCTAGCATGATAGCATCACATAGCAGCTACACACTGCCTACTATTTAAAAAATTAATAAATAAATAAAGTAAAAAATTCGTGAGCTGGTTCGATCAGTGTTGAAAGTTCGACTTGAGCTTAAATTTTTTGGCCGAACCTTGACACGGGCTAAAAAAAGTTCGAACCATTTTTACTCGAATCAAGCTTGAGCCTCGAGTTTTGACTCACGAGCCTACTCGTTGACATCCCTAGGTGGAGACTTGTTATATTATCGGCTTTTGCTGGTTGCCATGTACAACCAGGGGAGCCACTTGGTGCCCTATATAGGCCCCCCACCTATATTACGAGTTTTAGCAGCACAATAAAGTCTTTTATTAACATCTTTTGCGCTAAAAATCGAAATTAATCAAGACATCTGATTAGAGGGTGTTCTAGGCTTATAGAATTACAAATTATAAGTCAATGAGTAAGTATTAAAATAAATTAATGTGATATGTTATTGATTAAAGTTAAAGATAAGCAAGTTAGTTAATTGATTGTAAGTACAACTCGTCCATCTAAACGTAAGAAAAAAGAAAAAAAGGTAGCATTCAAATATGTTTAGTAAGTGATAAAAAAAAGTTCATAAAATATAAGTTCCATGCAATTGACATGAAAAATTTATATATTAGTAATACACAAAACAATTAAAACTAAAAGCATATATCAAAAATAAAAAGTGAAAAAAATAGCTTTTTAACTGTTGAAGTGGTCGAAAACAATAATGAGGATCAACTACTACAAAAATAAAAGGTTGACAACCTTCTTTGTAAATAAAGCATAGAGACATTTACCTGCTTTGTCTCGTACTCGTAAATAAAGCATTATAACCTTTTCTTTAAGCATACGCATGTCTTTTTGAGCATTTTTCTTTTTTTTTTTAAACTATCTATTTGTTGTAAATGATAAATTATTGGTGAATGGTAATTATATTCCTGCAATCCTATATATTATTATTATATGTATCTCTATTCATTTTCTATAAATATAGGGTTCTGATTCTTATTATAATACACACAAATCTGTTGACTTTTATTTTCTCTTTTCTTTTCATACTAATATTTTGAAATAAAAAGTGGGTTTTGATTCAACAAATTTGCAAAGTCAAATACACTTTCTATTTTTACTTATAGCCTCCGTTTGATCTACATTATTATCTCATTAAAATGAAAAAATATGACCGTTATCCATCACATCAACATTTAAATTCAAATTTTCTATCATTTGTGTGGGCCCAATAACGACTATATTTTTCATTTTCATTTTATAATAATTTGGCTCAAACAGGGTCATTGCATTATAATAAGTTATAAATTTACTCGATAACTTGTTCAAATCATATTTGAATTTATTGATTATTAAGATTTGAAGAGTATGTTTATGAAAGATGAGAAATCAGTAAACATTTATTAAAAAATAAATGAAGATCTAAACTAAAGAGTTTTGTTGAATTATATAAAGAATTTTACTCTCTAAATTTAATTATGATTTGTATCACATATAGGATGCTCTTGATAAACAGAAAGTTTCTTGGAGAATCTCTTACCTCTTTCTCAATAAAACCAGCAAAATTAATAAAGAAAAAAAGAATTTAAAAAAAAAAAAAAGAAAAGAAAGGGAAAGCCCAATTTGGCGATCGAGGTTTCACCTACGAAAAGATCACAGCGACTGTTATGCACCGTGTTTGCTAGCCTGGCTAGAACCCAAAAAGAAAGGGGGAAAAAGAGCAAATTAATAAAAAGCTGCGGCACAGAAAATTAAATTGTGTTTATTTACCTCATTGTTAAAGCGATTTAATGCTGATTTAGTGTCTCCAGCCCTTAAAAGAAGATAGAGCTTCTTCACATTTGGCTGAACCCTAAGAATCTTCTCAATGTAAACTGCATTACAAATACATAAAATCATGCACCTTTTAAGTCCGGCCAAAGATAACCATGGAGACAAATACATTATAGAGAAATAGAGAGAGAGATACTCTTTGCTAGAAAGCCAGTGGCACCAGTGATTAAAATGGTCCTGTTTTTAAGGAACGGGAGAATGCTACTCAACTCCATTTCCCAGGAATGGATATATGCAGAAGCAAAACAACAGACGTATAAATAGAGAATACAAACTACAATCAGCCACTATTCGGTAAAAATTAAAAACAAGATTTTAATTTAAGTTAAAGTGAACCATTAATTTTAATCAGATATTTCATATGACCCACAACTTTTGAACCGCACATTTCATCATCTTCTATCACTATTAGGCCTAGGCATGGGTTTGTCCGAATATTTCAATACTCGAAACCATCCATTATATTTCGAGTATTTCGTAAATGTAATCATTCGGATCCTTGTAATTATTGGAACCAAACTCAAACCCAAACAGTCGGTTCCAATTCAAGTTCGGTTCCTACCCATAACATTTTTATATACATTTCTTTCAGTATACATACCTAACACGCTATTATTCGACAATATTTGTGCAAGGGAATAAATTCAGTTAAGAAATCTTCAAGATGCAAAATAGTTGAGGAGAAAATTAAAACATAAAAAATTAAATTACAATTTGAGAATTTTTTTTTTTAATAAATCTTATTCGATCATAAGTGGGGCATTCTATAGTCTATAATTTAATTATGAACAATACTTAAATTCTTTCTCTTAGAACGAACTGACATAAAAAATATTAATTAAATACATAACCATATACCATCAAGAAATTGCACTCCACATACTGAGCTCGGTGTTTATGAATAAAAAAGAAAAAAAATTATATTACAAAACAGAATCATGAATTCAAGATTACCAATAACCTGTTTGGACTCCATTTTTTTAAATAACTCACCTTTTCAACAATCATTTTTAACCACATATTTTTTAATAAAATAATTTACACATAAATCCCAAATTTTTCTTATTTTTAACAACACATTCTTCAACTTCTTAGTATTCAAAATAAAATTTCTTGGAAAAAGGAGCCCAAATAGGGGCCTAAAGGTATATCGCAACCTAATTAAGTTATAAAATATATCAAGCTCAATTGCCACATATTATTAAAAAAAAAAAAGTACGAGTCATTCTTAATTTCTTAGAGTTAGAGTCTAGAAGTTTAGACTAATTACCACCCATATTAGGGTTTTTTGGTTTTGTATTTTTTTTAATCCATTCTATAAATTATAAATAAAAAAAATCATATAAGAAAATGGTTCCATTCGGGTACCCAAGGTTCTGGTTCAAAAATCAAGAACCGAACTAGACCCAATTGATTATTAGTTCTCAGTTCCAATTCTTAATTTATTTTTTGAGAACTAGATGGGAACCAGTGGTTTCTGTTCGATTTCCATTTGGGAGGTTCAGCTCCGATTAAAATGCACATGTATAATCAAATTTTACTAAAAATCTGATTTTAATCCTTACTAATCAAGGCTTTAGGAAGTGGCCGCGCTTACAAGTTACAACTGTTTATGAAAATCTTTTAGATAAATGGCGTAATAGCCTATGTTCCGGTTCACTTTTTTTTATTACAAAGTTATTTTTCAAGAAATTAGTGGCGAATACGTCTATGGTTAGTATTTGTGAATTTTATAAAATGTGAAGTGCCTGTTTTAGTAAAAGGAAAGCCAAGCAGAAGCAGGCCATATAATCAATAAACATTTTTGAGTTAAAATTTATTTTCTGAATCAACCTCTCAATGTGGTACATTTTAACGAACAAAACTGTGAAGGAGACAATTTTAACCCATACTAAAATGGGGAGAACAAGGTAAAAACTTAAAAAATTACCCTTCATGCGACCTAGTCGTCCTCCTTGTGATAATACATCGAGTGTAAAGTCTTTTCGGTTTCTGGTCCATTTTGAACTCATTACTTGAGGAAGATTGAGTGAATTTATACTGGAACTTCAAGTTGGGGAATGTCCATAGTTTTATCACATTCCAAAACATTATCAATATATTCACTTGCCCCGAAAGAGTTTTATTGAGATTTTTCTTATCCAATTCCATATTGCTGACATCGTTATCAATTAATTGTTGGATCAAATTTTTATGCAGTTGCTCCAACAAATGCAATAAAACATGAGTTTGAAAAATTTATATGTAAAATATTTAATTGTATGAATGTGTGATTAAACATGAGTTTGAAAAAAAATGGAGACAAACATGGGCTTAAGTTGCGAACTAAGCTCGAGTGTGTGGCTCTTGAATGTAATGTTTCAGTAGTCCTTGTTTTATCTGATCAACGCCTCAATTTACGAAACGTGTCATCTTTTTAACACGTCTATCCTCATTTGCAAAAGTTCTTATTCTTCAATTTGGTCATCATCCTAATTTGCAAAAGTCTCATGAGCCCTACTACATGGCTAAGGGCCACATGGGTCCTGGCCAGGCGCTTATTGGCTGGGGTCTGTCCCTGGATGGCCTGGCCATATATCTTTTCCCAAGTCTCATTTTTTAGGGGGACATTTAATTTGACTTTAAATGTTTTTCTTGATTTTTAACAATAGCTAAAATCGATTTGGTATATTCTTGAAGAGAAGGATAAAAATCGTTTTCATCGCTTTATATTTTCGTTTAACAAAGGTCCACTTTAATTAATATTCAGTACAAGTTTTGATATCTCATCAATAAGGCTGTATCTACAATAGCATTCAACAGTCATATATTGTTGAAATTGATTTTTCAATCTACAAAATAATGAGGAAGATATCGTAATGTTGTGGTGTCGCACCTCTGGCAGCCTGAGGGCCGGCCCTGATTAATTATTTATCTACTTAGATATAAGCTGAACCTAATTTGTAGCGTGACCAAAAATCATTAATTATGTATAATTTTCTGATCACGAAAGTCTCAAAAGAAAAACCGGCATGAATGGGGCAACTCAGCCGACTTGACATGCTACCTACTTGTTTCTTTCATTACAAAACCACAGAAGAGCTTTTTTTTTTTGGGAAAATATCTTTATTTTCCATTTACTTATTACTTTCTTTAAAAAGAAAACAAAAAACAAAAGAAGAGATCTTTTCTCTTTGTTAGAACAAGAAATATTACAAAATTTCATCTAAAACAAACTTGGAATGATTATTTAAGCTTGTATTTGGTCCCATCTTAATTTTAATTGTCTCCTTTTAATGTCATGTGCAATTTGACTTGGAATGGAAGCATTGATTCCATCATGATTTATTTATAATGGAAGCTTTCCAATAAATGGTAGAAGAGCCTTTTTTTTAA